GGGATCGACTCCTTAATTTCTCTTTCTTCTGTCTTGTTGTTGGTGTATAGGAATGCCACTGATTTCTGTGCATTGGTTTTATATCCTGCCACTTTCCTGAATTCCTGTATGAGTTCCAGCAGTTTTGCGGTGGAGTCTTTTGGGTTTTCCACATAAAGTATCATATCCTCTGCAAAGAGTGAGAGTTTGACTTCTTCTTTGCCGGGTATCAGGGCTCTTTAAAGAAGTTCCCAATTCCATGTCTGGGATAGGAAAATCAAACAAACAGGGTCATGTGAACGGGGCACAGTAGTCAACTTTAAGGGACCACTGACTAAAACATCAAATTCTGACATCAACAAGAAAGACTACAGTGGATTGAAACACACTAAGCATATATAATATGTGAGTTCATGGTGATGAGTGAGCAAGCAGACCAAAAATTTAAAAGAGAACAAAAAAGTAATTATTGGCTATGCTTAGAGGTACTAAGACACCAACTCCTTCCTCTGAAAATTAGTAGTTAATGGGAAGGAATTAAGCATTTATCCTGCCTGACCAGTAGAGACAATTTTTCAGAATAACCATATAATCCTGGTTGATGAGGGAAAGTTCTTCTCTACCAAAGAATTCCAGCTATTAAATATAGATGAAATGGTAGAACTTAAAGCCACACTAGTCAAATAAGTGATTCAAGCATTGATCATTAGTAATGTAAATGTTATGAGAAAGGATGATGGAAACTTGACCATGGAAGTCAGTCTACCACCACATGAGCCCACTGACCAGCACCATTAAAAGTTGGATAATCACACATCATGTGTCTCCTAATGTGATATAATGTGAACTATGTAGTTCCACCTTGAAATCTATATTGTTGATCCTGAATCTTTTTTAAATTTTTTTATCTAAATTCAGTTTAGTTAAGTGCTCATTACATCAAGTGCCCTCCTTAATACCCATCACCCAATTACCCCATCCCCCCACCCACCTCCCTTCCAGCAACTCTCAGTTTGTTTCCTAGAGTTAAGAGTCGTATGGTTTGCCTCCCTCTCTGTTTTCATCTTATTTTATTTTTCCTTCCCTTCCCCTATATTCATCTGTTTTGTTTCTTAAATTCCACCTGTGTGTGAGATCATATGGTATTTGTCTTTCTCTAACTGACTTATTTCGCTTAGCATAATACCCTCTAGTTACGGGGCGCCTGGGTGGCTCAGTTGGTTA